TTATTAAATAGCAAGTTACAAAAGAAACAAATAATCCTCAGATGACAATTTCCTGTATCCAAAATACAAATACCCAAATTCAGCATTATCCACTTATACAGTCTCTGTCTGTCTGTCTGTCTGTCTGTCTATCATCATCTATCATCTGTCTGTCTGTCACCTTCTTCATACAATTCTGATATCCCTATCTAACCTTCTTAGTACATGACTACTGTTTACTCCATCCCGTTATTTCATATACGGTTGAAAATCACCAGCTTCGTCTGCTCTTCAGGTTTAATTTTATTCCAGTACTCCATGAACCGAGACTCTTTGACCAAATAACGACCGCTCTCTTATATTGCCTTCCCTTAAATGCTTACATAGCTGCAGTTTTCTCCATCACCATAGTCAGCCATATTTTAATAATAATAATAATAATAATAATAATAATAATAATAATAATAATAATAAAGGGTAGAACAAACCTTTCTCCTGGTGGCCTTACCAGCATTGCTCAGAGACAAGATCAAACATTTTTTCCTAATTTTTGTTGTTGTTGTTCAGTCGCACAGTCAAGTCTGACTCTTTGCGACCCCTTGGACCACATCAGACCCTCTGTCTATCAAGGTCAGTACTGTCTACTCAGACTGGCAGTGGCTCTCCGTGGACTCAGGCAGAGGTACTTCACACCACATACTCTTTGAACCTTTTAAACTGGGGATGCCAGAGATTGAACCTGGGACCTTCTGCGTGCAAAGTCACTGAGCCACAGCCCCTCCTCAAACTCAACTGAAACCCAGGAGACGGGGTGCACATCGGCACGTACTTAACTGCATGCAAGGAAGAGAACACAAGCTACAATTCTTGGCCCAAAAATGCTCACATTTCAACCTTCTACGAGGACTTGAGGGGAGGGGACAAGGACAGAAAGTCATCCAGCGGACTATCCTAGAACATGCCCGCTGCAGATGGCCAGAGTGGTTGGGTAGGTTTATATGAGAGCAGGTGGTCCTTCAGGTATTCAAGTCCCAAGTCATATAGTTTAGGCTGAGGGTGACGTGCCCAAGGTCACTCGAACTTCACAGCAGAGAGAGAAGACAAGAGAAGAGGTTGGATTTATACCCTGCCCTTCACTACTCGAAGGAGTCTCAGAGCGGCTTACAATCTCCTCCCCCTCTGCACAACAGACACCCTGTGAGGTCGGTGGGTCTGAGAGAGTTCTTTTGAGGACTGCTCTTTCCAGAACAGCTCTGAAAGGACTTGTAACTGACCCAAGGTCACACCAGCTGGCTGCATGTGGAGGTGTGGGGAATCAAACCCGGTTCTCCCAAACCGGCTCTGGGATTGTCGTAAGGAGCACAGCAAATTTGCAGGTTTGTACTGGGAGAGACGGTCTCTAAAGCAGGAGAATGTCTGAGGGGTTTTAAGGGCAAGAAGCAGCACCTTGTACTGAGCCCGGAAAGGCTCCGGCAACCGGTGGAGGTCTTTCAGAATTTTCAGCCAAAAGGGCGTGCTGCAGCAGTTCGCACCCAGCTCCTGTGATGTCTCGGAGGACAGCTTTTCATGGAGTTCGCTGCAGTAGTTGTGTGCACGTGGGATTGTTCAGATGGCTGCTAACTTTCATAGGTTTGTCTGCACAGCTGCTGCCACGGGATGCCTTGTGGCTCTCAAGGTTTATGGAGGAAGCGAGCCCTAGAAATCGGAGATCCCACAGAATGGATCCTGGAAACAAGTATTCCTCCGTGCTGGCACGTCCCTCCTGGCACGCACCTGCCTCCATGCACCCGGGGAATAAATCATTCCTGCGCAGAGCAGATAGCAGCGTTCAAATATTTACTTACCATAATTGAGGAGAAACCCGTGCCGTCGGTCATTAAAATTTCGCTATTGGGTTTGGAAGACGTAATTGGTTTTCTGTTATAAAAAGATGCCGGCGCGTTAAAATGCTCTGACCAATCCACGGCAAGAGCCTGAGGGCCTTTGCATGCAGAGCCCTCGGCCGTGCGGTGCAGCCTCCTTTCGATAGCTCCGTGCGCCTCAGAGGAGCTGGGTTTGCATATGAAGTGAGCTGATTTCCTTTGGAAGAGGAAGACGAAAGAGCCATGGGGGCAGTGTTGCTGTTTTGAACAGGGACTTGGTCTCTGCAAAAGGGAGAAGAAGAAGAGATTGGATTTATACCCTGCCCTTTACTCAGAGTGGCTTACAGACTCCTTTCCCTTCCCCTCCTCACAACAGACACCCTGTGAGGTAGGCGGGGCTGAGAGAGCTCTTTCCAGAACTGTCCTTGAGAGAACAGCTGTGCCAGAACTATGGCTTGCCCAGGGTCCCACCAGCAGCTGCGAGTGGAGGAGTGGGGAATCAAACCCGGTTCTCCCGGATTAGAGTCCACACACTTAACCACGACACCAAACCGCTACACCAAACCCCTCCCTTGAACTCGAGCAAACACCGTCCCTTTCTTTTGAAGTCATGAGGGGCTCTTCTCTCCACCCCCCCCCCAGTGTACCAAGCAAAGACCCGTCCTTTCTCAACAGCGTTTCTAGAGTAGGATGTGCAACTGCCACTCTTTCATCTCTGATGGCTCGGTTAGAAGCTCCAGATCCGTATTAAAGATGGAGGGTTCTGCTGGGAAACGGTGAAATAAGCAGGCAAGTGGTTGCCGGTCAACTCGTAGGTGCCTTCTGAGGTTATTATGGTTGGGAAGAATGACAGATCTCTTTATTTACTTCATTTATTCCCTAACTCCCCCCTCCCCCCGCCCCTGTGGGGACCCAAATTGACTTACATCATTCTCCTCTCCACGTGATTACTGGGCAGCATCCTGCCCCATTTTACACAAGGCTGGCTGGCAAAAGACGGGAGGGAACAGTGGTGGTGTGACACAGCTTAGGTTCCTCTGGGAAACTTGTGTGTGGGGGGGTTGGGGTTGGTTAACCTAAACAGCATGACAAAAAGTAGAGACATCACCCTGCCAACAAAAGCCCGCATGGTCAAAGCAATGGTATTCCCAGTAGTCATGTATGGCTGCGAGAGTTGGACTGTAAGGAAGGCCAAGCGCCGAAGAATAGATTCTTTTGAACTGTGGTGCTGGAGAAGACTCTTGAGAGTCCCTTGGACTGCAAGAAGATCAAATCAGTCAATTCTAAAAGAAATCAACCCTGACTGTTCCCTGGAAAGCCAGATAATGAAACTGAAGCTCAAATACTTTGGCCACCCAATGAGAAGGGAGCACTCCCTGGAGAAGACCCTGATGCTGGGAAAGATCGAAGGTCAAAGAAGACGGGGATGGCAAAGGATGAGATGGTTGGACAGTGTCATAGATGCAACGAACATGAAGTTGAGCCAACTTCAGAGGACAGCGGAAGACAGGAAGGCCTGGCAGGATCTGGTCCATGGGGTCACAAAGAGGCGGACTCGACTGTGCGACTGAACAACAACAACAACCACCTGTGGGAGTGAGGCAAAGGGCACTCTCTAGCATCGGGAATCCCCAGTCTTTTTTTAGTCCATGGGCACGTTTGGACTTCTGACGCAGAGTGGTGGGCTCAGCCACAAAATGGCCCCCGCATCGTGTCTACCCTCACACAGGGAAGATCCTTGTGCTGTGGCGGTAGTTGCCGTCAAACCAAAGTCTTTTAAAAAAAAGATCTGCACGGCCAATCAAAATCGCCAGTGTTCCGTTAGAAGCCCCACTAGGCAAAAGCCCACCGTGGCCTTGCCCACTCTGGCGGATGCCAGGAAAGATGTTGGTGCCCATGGGTGCCGTGTTGGGGACCCCTGCTCTGACGCCTGTCACCAGGCGGAGGACTGAGCTCGTCGGAGCTCCCCACCTCTATCCAGGCATCTTCAGCCTTTTTTTGGTCCCAGTGCAATATGGAGTCTACCATCACCTTGACATATTCAAGCCAGTCTCCCTTCTCTTGTGTATCTCTTTTTAAAAAACTGTGACCCCAGTCTGTATCCACACACACACACACACACACACACACACCCGGTCAAGGTACCGTATACTGATTCAGACCCTCAGTCCATCGAGGTCAGCAGTGTCTACTCAAACTGGCAGTGGTTGTCCAGGGTCTTTTCACATAGGGATTGGATAAACATCTGAAGCAGGGGTCCATCAGTGGCTATTAGCCACAAGGTATAGATGGAACCCGATGTCTGGGGCAGCGATGCTCTATATTCTTGGTGCTTGGGGGGCCCACAGTGGGAGGGCTTCTGGGCTTTTGGCCCCACTGGTGGATCTGAGGGCACCTGGGTTTTTGGCCACTGTGTGACACAGAGTGTTGGACTGGATGGGCCACTGGCCTGATCTAACATGGCTTCTCTTATGTTCTTATAACCTACTACCTAGTACTTTTTGGCAGCAGAGGAGAGGACCTGAAGCAACGGGTTTAAATCACATGCAGAAAGGTATCGGCTGGGTATTACGAAAAACTTTTTCACCGTCAGAGTGGTTCAAAGGTGGAATCAGCTGCCTAGGGAGGTGGTGAGCTCCCGTTCACTGGCAGCTTTCAAGAAGCGGCGGGACGAATATTTGTCAGAGATGCTTTAGGCTGGTCCTGCATTGGGCAGGGGGTTGGACTAAACTAAATGGTCTGTATGGCCCCTTCCAACTCTATGATTCTGTGACTTTCAGCTAAGGTATGCGAGGGATTGAAGCCAGGGCCTCCTGCATGTCAAGCAGATGCTCTACCATTGAGCTGTGCCTCCCCATCCGTTTTGGGAAACCGTTGATTGAAAAGCAGGATGTGAATGTAACAGTGCCTGGTATGAGTTGGTGGAGAAGAGCTTACAAGGAAAGCGGTTCCCATTAGCTCTTTAGGTGGAAGTCCCTGGAAGCCAGTGCCCACTCTTGCCTAACTCTTGTGTGTTTCCTTCCTTCTAGTGCATTCCGCAACAGAAAAACGATAGCGACTGTGGAGTCTTTGTGCTCCAGGTAAGAAGCAGGGGAGAGAAGCTCTCTCTTCTGTCCCCAGCCCCCCACCCTTTTCAGAAGATTCTGCTTGTGAAACGCCTGATCCCAGTTGTATAAAACGTATGTTCTCTAGGGTTACCAGCTCCGGGTTTGGGAAATACCTGGAGATTTTGGGTGTAGAGCCTGAAGAGGGGTGGGGTTTGGGGCATAACATCATAGAGTCCGACTTGAAAAGCGGCCATTTTCTCCAGGTGAACCGATCTCTGTGGCCTGGAGACGAGTCCGTAACTGCAGAGATCTCCAGCCACCGCTTGGACACTCAGTATTGACAAATACACCGTAATAAAATGCAAAACTATTGTAACGTAAGGTATGTATTAATACAAGATCGTGAAAATATATGATACATAGAATAACATAACAGAATCTCATAATGCAGTGTTCATGCAAGAAGGATCCAAGAGAATCAACCCAAAGGGATCCAAAAATTCAGAAGTCAAAGTCAAAAATCACATGAGGATTCCGGATATGCAAGCCTCGTTTCGGCACACTTCATCAGTGGAACTGCAAAATATACAGTCACTGTAAAATATTGTATCATAGGGCAGCAATACCAGAGATTATATATTTTGCAGTCCCTCTTATGAAGTGTGCCTAAACGAGGCTTGCATATCCGGAATCTGCGTGTGATTTTTGACTTCGACGTCTGAATTTTTTGATCCTTTTGGGTTGATTTTCTTAGACTCCTTTGGATCCTTCTTGCTTGACCATCGTGTTATGAGATTCTGTTACGTTATTCTATGTATCATATGTTTCCATGATCTATTATTAATACATAACTTACGTTAGAATAATTTTGCATTTTATTACAGTGTATTTGTCAATACTGTGTCCGTATATACATGTCAAGCCATGCTTCGCTTTGCTCGCTTTGGTTGCCATAGTTATTGGGGGGGAGGGAATTCCTGCGTGGAGGGGGGTTGTGTGAATGAGTGAGAGAGTGGGGCCTTTGCTTCTAGAAGTCATAACTTTCTTCACAAGTCGTGCTCCTTTCCATTTCCCAGGGGAAGGTGTCCTTGAGAGTTCCTCTGTACCAGCTCGAGCTGCAGATAACCAAAACATATATCTTTCACTTGGTTGGGATGGCAAAGTTAGCGCGTGGCGTGAACGTGACGTATGCTTGGGGGGAAGGAAGGGGCTTTTCTTCGAATTATCTATATTAAGTTTGTACCCGCCAAAAGTCCTCAGTTCTAACACAGTGACTTTCTGGATCTTGCATACATCTCAATAAACGTATCACTGCCAAGAGAGAGTTGTTGAGTGTAACTTGACTGGGGGGGGGGTGTCTGTGTATTACCACAACAGGTGGTCGGCAGCCCTAATCTTTCCCCCGTCTCTCCACAGTACTGCAAGTGCCTCGCCTTAGACCAGCCTTTTCAGTTCTCACAGGAAGACATGCCTCGAGTGCGGAAAAGGATTTACAAAGAGCTCTGCGAATGCCGACTAATAGACTGAATTAAGGAGGGGAGGAAAGGAGAAAAAGAAAGCAGCATACCAACAGCGGCCACCAGAAACCGCCCCGCGACTCCCTTGGCATTTTGTAGAGCCCCCAGCTTGATAACTTGTGTACTTGAATATTTTTTTTTGAAGAAAAAAAAAAGACTTCCATGGATTTCAAGCACGTCTTGGGCTGAACCGGTGTGGCCAGCGTAATTACCTCAGCACGTCTTGGGCTGAACCGGTGTGGCCAGCATAATCCCCCCAGCCCCCCCCCCCCCAACCCCCCGACATTTCTCCTTAACTGGCGAGCCCTACCACAAAATAATCCCCAGTGTCAGTTTAGTTTATTTTTTTTCCTAACGTTCTTTCCTGTATTTAATATTTATTATCCAAACGCATGCGCGTAGGCAAAGCATGCGACTAAAAGAGAAATATTAAAAACTGTAGAATTGGTGCACCTTTGGAGCGTAGCTAGAAATGACGAGAATAATGCAGGTTAAAACTCTTCTTCTTTTTTTTTTGTCTGAACATTAAAAAGTGCATGATCCATTTCCCCCCCCCCCGATCTTCCCCCCCCCCCCCGATGCAATAAATAATGCTTTGAATGTACAAAAAAGCCCAACCCCGATGCCGTAACAGCAGCCGCTTAGAACCCCCCCCCACTCTCTTTTCGTTTCCCTTTAGACTTCATTCCTTTTCTTCTCTCTCCCCTCACCCCGTTGTGGCTGTTTTTCCCCATTCTGTATCCCTGTGAAAAGTTGGAAGAAAAAGGGTGTATTGGAAACGGGCCTCTATCTTTAGTTTGTGGGGGATCCCATTAAAGAAAGCTGAAGTCATTCCACTCTTTGATTGGGCGCCTGCTAGGTCAACCATCTCCCTACAGTTTTGAAAGCAATCCCTTGTACGGAACACACTTCCATAACTAATAAAATATGGAGATGTTCGTTATTTGGGTGTGGCGGTCTTCCTCGCAGGGCCTCTTCTTCAGCAATTCGTGGGCAACGTGGTGATAACAGAGCTTCTTTCCTGCTCTCGGCTTGTCCTCTTGGGCTTGTGCCGCGTCATCCTCTCAATCCTGTTGCCAGTGCCGACTCATGGCCTCTAAATCTCACGCACATCAGTCTTACTGGGAACCTTTAATTCAGGTGGGTGGCTGTGTTGGGCTGAAGCAATAGAGCAAAGTTTGAGTCCCGTGGCACCTCTAAGACCAACAAGGTTTGATTCTGGGCATAAGCTTTTGTGTGTGTGTGCATGTGTGCGCACTTCTTCAGGTGCATGCACACGAAAGCTTATACCCCGAATTAGTGTTCCCTCTAAGCTGAGTTAGTGTGAGCTAGCTCACAGTTTTTTAGCCTCCAGCTCACACATTTTAGTCTCAGCTCAGGAAGGGGATGGCTCCAGAGCAAACTAATTTATGCAGTATCCAAATCGCTTGCTCACAACTTCAATGCCAGTAGCTCACAAAGTAGAATTTTTGCTCACAGGACTCCACAGCTTAGAGGGAAAATTGCCCAGAATCAAACTCTTTTGGGCTTAAGGGTGCTACCGGATGCAAAACTGGGGAACCTTAAAGTCCATATAGTCCTTCCACTGCCTTTCTTGCCTTGGTCTTCTTCTTCCCCCCCTCCTCCCAGGGTTAAATGAGTGTGGTCCTTTGTCCCAGGCATACTTCTGTAACCCTGGAAACTCTTTCTCCTTTGCTTTGTGATAAAGGTCTTAAGATCGCTCTGGTAATAGCAAAATTCGTTTCAGCCCTCTTAACCCTTGTGTGCGAAAAAAGAGGAGTGAGAATCTTCTGCTGCTCAAGATTCGTTAATCAGTGAGTCTTCCAAGGGAATAAAAGAAAATGGAAAGGACTTTTCTTCCTGGAACTAATCTTGCAAACCAGCTCGTGAGTGGATGTAGTTTACATGTTGATTTTCTGTTCGAATGTCCCCTTTTTGAGAGCAAGTTAGAAGTGTGGACTCTATTTTGGGGGGACCAGGTTTGATTCCCCACTCATCCACATGCGGCTGCTGGTGTGACCTTGGGTCGGTCACAAGTTCAGAGGAGTGGGGAATCAAACCCGGTTCTCCCAGGTTAGAGTCCACGTTCTAGCTCTCTCAAGAAGCCCAAGTTCACTGGAGAAGAAGGGGGATTTTAAAAATACACTGGGTGTAAAGAGTGGCTGAGAACAAAACCGGCACTGTGGCAGCAGCTGCAGTTGAAACGATGTTATTTTAATCTGCCTGGCTAATCAGAAGCCCTGCTGGGCAAGAGCCCCACTCGGTCCCACCCACTTTTTGGAGGGGGGGGGAGAGTGAACTTCTGGCAGAAGTAGGAGCCAGCATTATCAGGCTCAAATCTGCGCCTGTACAGCAGGCGACAGGACACACCTGGGCCTCAGTCTCTTGGAGCACTAACCAGCATGCCGACGGAGATGGGGACTTCCAGTCCCCCGCCCACTTTCTAAAATGGGCGCTGGCGAACGCAATGGTACCCACGGGGCACTGCTTTGGGGACCCCTGAACTAGATAGCCATCATGACTAGTAGCCATCGATAACCCCATCCTCTGTGGATTTGTCCACTCCCCCTTTTCAAGCCGTTGAAGTTGGCAGCTGTCGCCACATCCTGTGGCAGCGAGTTCCACGGTTTAACGGCACTGTGTGAAGACGTTCTTCCTTTATAAAGATTCTCGGTCCTCAGTGGGTACCAATATGGGTTCAACGGCTAGCTAGGATCCTTGGGTGGGGGGGTCTTCGCACTCTAGTCTTCTCTGCTCTGAAGATCACTCTTCCCTCTTAATTTGATAATCGCCCCTTTAGCGCTATACAATTTTTGGCGTTTGTTCAGCCAGTCAAGACAGACGCCTTTCTGTGACGGGGGGCTACTCTATTGCTAGTAGCCAGTGTTCCCTCTAAGCTGAGTTAAGTGTGAGCTAGCTCAGTTTTTTAGCCTCCGGCTCACACATTTTTTTTGTCTTCGCTTAGGAAGGATGGGGCTCCAGAGCAAACTAATTTATGCCGTAGCCAAATCGCTTGCTCGCAACTTCAATGCCAGCAGCTCACAAAGTAGAGTTTTTGCTCACAAGACTCCACAGCTTAGAGGAAGCATTGCTTACTGCCTAGTCCTTTTTAACTGGAGATGCCGGGGATTGAACCAGAGACCTTCTCCATGATGAGCAGAGGCTCTCTACCACTGAGCCACAGCCCCTTCCCAACCATCTCCAACGATGCACTGATAACGTTACAGCAACGTTCTCAGAAGACAGCACATTTTGTTCAGTAACAAGGAGTGCAGCAACTGTGGTTAAGTGATAATGATGTTTTGCATTGCTCCACAGAGTGGTTCAATTCCTCAAAGGGCTTACAGCCAATCTGCTGGCCTATTGCAAGAGCCCTGGTGAAAACAATCTTTAACACGATGAACCAATTAACTCCTTTTCTCATAGGATTTCAACACTTGTTTTTTTTGTGCGATTAGGATTAAAACACTCATTAATTCCAGAAAGAAAAAAAGTTATCTTACGAAGCTGTGTAGTGACACCCTGGAGCCGAATTCAATCTTGTAACATCATGGAAACAAAGACTGCTAGAAGCCACATCCAATTAGTTACCAAAACATCAATAATCAGAACTCTTGTGGATAGGTTTTTAATTTCAGCAAGGACATAGCATTTCAAAACAGGCAACCCTTTCCTCTTACACAATCTAACACATCGTGACAATCCACCACATCATAAGAAACAGCTTTCTTCAGTGCCTCCCTTGTATTAAGGAAACACACCGAGACCCAGGCAAAATGAAGGCCAAAGGGTAATTTGAGAATGATGAGCAAGGTGTATGTTTGTTTTTAAGCTACTGGTTCTCATATATAAGGTTGCATTGATTTCCAATTCTCCCATCAGGGCTAGGGACACCCCCCAGTTCCCCCCTCCAAGGCACTGGTACTCAATAATGCTGAGTACCACCACAAAAAAAAGATCCTTCCGTTAGTAATGAATACAGTGAAGAAATCCGTCGATTGGCCATGAATGGGTTGATGCACAGCCCAACTGCTTGATGAAACTTTAGCTCCCTGCACTCAACTGGCGAACAGAACGTGAGCTGAACCACCAGATGTTGGAGCATCTCTGTGAAGTCATTTCCAATGAAATACAAGGGGTTTAACCCAGACTTGTATGCACGCAAAGCGGATGTTCTCTTCCACTACTGACCATGCCTCATTTCCAGCACTGCAGTCTTAATCTCGACAAACAGCCTTGGAGGAATTCATGCTGGCTGCCGAGTCAGAAGAGAGAGGACACCAAGGGCATCCTTCGCAACTGCTTCTCCAGCTTTGAACCTGAGAACCCGAGATGCAGCTAAAAGCAGAGTTTCTTCCAGGCCAACAGCTATGCAACATTTCCAACTGGGGTCGAGGATAAACAAGGAATCTAAGTGGCTTAAAAGAATTCAATGCCTTCCTTCAAAGAATTGCTTACCCACACCAAGGCCAGAGTGAACCAAATTTCTTAAGCCTAAAGCAGGAAACAGACCTAGAGCTCACAAACGTTTTAGGGACAGCAGAGTTGCTGGGAATAAAGACCCCAACTTCGGTGTTCCTTGACCCACAGAGCGAATGCAGGGTCCATGGCCGTTTCAGATTTCTGCCATCAAAACTCTATCACAGTGTTCATGGGATTACCTATACTGTTGATTGTACTTAACTTGTACCATGAAATCTACCTTGTGTCTTGAGAAAGGCGAACTATAATGTGGATCAACAAATAAATGTAGCAGGAACCTTGTGGGTTTGGATCTCTGAGATTGCAGGCTGCTGGGGACTGTTCGACCCTCTACCTTGAGTGTGGAAATGGATATAGCAACAGAGGAACAGTGGCGGCTGACAGGATATAGCTGGGATTGCAAGGGATACTTCACATTTTGGTGTGACATCTGTGAAAATGGGGTCCATGGGATGGTTGTGGTGAAGGAAGGATGTTGCCACAGGAAGCGGAGGCGGTTACAAGCACAGACAGCTTCTAGAAGGGACTGGATAAACCTATGGAACAGTGGTCCATTAATGGCCATTAGCCACAAGGTACAGTTCGAAAGCAAGAAATTGCAAGTAGATAAATAGGGACCACTTCGGTGGGAAGGTAACAGCGTTCCGTGCGCCTTGGTGTTTAGTCATGCCGGCCACATGACCACGGAAACGTCTTCGGACAGCGCTGGCTCTTCGGCTTTGAAACGGA